GAATAAATAAAATCTACGTATGGCTGCATAGGGTTTCCATATAGATCAAATAACCTACAATGACATTTTCCACCAACTAAATGTAATTAAATCATCTTATATAGATCATATGACTTATAACTGCTCAGTCATTCATTGTAACACCAATTTGATAATTTATTACTAAAATTGTTCACCTATCCAGAAGAGGAACCATACCTTTAGATGACAGGCTGTGGCATTCGGCATTCAGAGAAGAGTCTTACAGGAACTGTCTTTCAATTGTAGAATGAACAATGTGTTTTTGTTTAACGCTGAAAAAATCTAATAAGAATTATAAAAATCCTCTATGCATAAAGCTGCTAAGAATGTTATGCTCCTTCTCCTCAAATGTCTATCAAGAAATAAAGAAAGATCAAAAATATAAAAAGAGTCTAATCTTCAGAACAGCAACAAGAACCCCAGAGTGAAGACACTTCTTCATGTCCCTCTTTTTATACAGGTGGAGATCAGGAAGAACTCAAGAGATCTTCTAAATATGGTAAAACATGAAATACAATTCAGACATTGGTCAAAGTTAAATTATTCTATGTTAAAACATGTGACCAGATACAAAGAATGTCAAAATAGTTGTTTTCCAGTAAGCCTGGTGCAAATGACTGGTACAGAAAAAAGGTGTTGATGTCGGATAATTCTGGTGACACTTGCACTGTAAATTCAGAAGCCTGAGGTCCAACAGGAAGCTCAGTCTCAACTGAAGACGAGATCTTCTTCATTAGTGTAGGTCACAAGTATGGACACACCCATTTCAGCAACATGTCTGTGGTTAGAAGTGTTGTTTTTCCCTGCAGCAACACAGCTGTCAGAAAGCAGAACCAACATTCAGAGTTCATTTCATTTGGGCAGAGTCACAGCCAAAGTTTATTTATAATTTAATTTCATTTCTGATGTTGTCAATGTCTAATATTGTCTTCTAATTGGTATCAAAATTCCTTTGAGGTGGGGACGGGATGCCAAGAAGTGAGGCTCAGCCATAACTCATATAGTCGGACCAGTGACAGCATTGTCAAAGCTTATAAAAATATTGAAACAGATTGTTTGAAAATTTCACACACTGAAAGCAGCTTTTAAAACACTGACCACTCATCATGGTGATGAGAGAAAACATTCATCACGCGAAATTCTACTTTGATTTTTATCCAACAGGTGAAAGTGTGCGACAAGTGGTAATGAGAACACTCATTACAAAAAAACTGTGATTGGTGGATTGCTGCTTGTGGAAGGTATGTCAGGAGAACCGACAATTTGGTCGATACCGAAGTTCTGAAAACGAAGGTACAGGGGATCCAACAGGTTAGAGGGCGCCAAGTGCAGCTGCAGCAACAGCTCCGCCTCGAGTCAGTGAAAAGAAAAGGAGTAATAATAAATTCACAAAACAGGATGCAAATGGTTCCATCAACTTTTTAGACTGAAGGACGAAACACTTTTAACTTAGCGAAGCACCTCAGACAGACTGAGTATCAGTTCACGTTATATTTATACATGTTATACTCTTATCCTGAAATAAACATTACCAGTCCATTTGTTTGAGACAGCTGGCATTGCTGTATCACTTAGCCAACTATGTTCTGCATGACGTTTGCATTGGCTAAATGCTAAAGGCCACCGTGTTTAGGCTAACATAACTCGTAGTAGCAGGCTTCTTGTTGTTGTGTTTTAAATAAAAAAAAAGAAATGTAGGGGTTTGCTGTGTGGACACAGGAGCGTACACAAAGCAGATTAACAGTGAACTCAGGTAGATTTATTTACAAAAGGCAAGGATGTGCAAACAGATTAACTAAAGCGTGGGAATTGTGCATAGAGTTGAGAGGGCTGGCAAGCAGTGGCTTCCAAGAACACATTTCTGGGCTGGAGGGCAGCATCGCACAGAATACAGTTCTGAACAGGCAGGCAGCGTCTTCAAACACGAGTGGCAGACTCGGGCAATCAATTGTTAATTGCAAGTTGAAAAACTAGTAGACAAAAGAACTCTACTTTCATTTAAGCGTGGCTAGCGTTGGTTAGAGCCCTGCATTTCAGCCCGAGACAAATTGCTCCCGACTTATTTACACCCCAGGGGCCGGGCTTCGGGCCAGTTTTCACGTCATAGCTTAAATGCGGGCCGGGCAACAGGCCTGTATAAAGCTTCTCCTTTTTAGGTTTAAAACATCCGAAATGCCGTTTCTCACGGTCCAATGTGCTAAAAACAAAGTCAACTTACAAGACACACAAAAAAAAATAGACATGCTGGCCAGCCAAAAAAACAGAATGGCATTTATTGTGTCATTAAACCAAAGTCACTGTGAATCATTTGTGATTTTTAATGCATCTCCAGTAGGTTATTTTATGAGCTTTTCACTATTAGTCAGACCCGCACAAATAAGACTGTAATTTACAGTATGAGACTAGACGAGACAGCTGATCTGTATTGGGGAGTGAGAATGGCATGCAGGGCTGGAGCACACAAGTGCGTAGCCTAATAGTGCAACCCCTATCTGAAGTATGTTCACCTGCATAGCCTATCTCTAGCCTATTTAAATAATAGCAGCATCAGAAGTAGGCTACTTAACATTAGCTTCTGAAATATAAAGCCAGTAGCGGGAGCAGCCTTATAACAGTCGGCTATGTAAACAGCATGAACATTTATAGTGAGTTCAGTGGACAGTATTCCAATGCATAATGTGAGATATGTAGCCTCCATATGAAGTCTGACATATAGGAAACAGTGTCCATCCACTTTGACTGTTTAAGCACCAAGCATCACAGCTGTAAACACAGAATCCGCCTCGTCTCATCTCGGCCGAGCCTTGCGCTCTGACAGAGCACGGTGTGCCCGCTGCATGCTCCAGGACATTGATGGGGCAGGTCTGTGTAAAGATGTCGGCTTAACAGTCTTCGATTTTCCGGTGTCACCTCTATTTGTCTCGGTTAGCTAGTGAAATGCAGGATGCTTATAGTAGTGATGGGCAAAGCGAGGCTTTGTGAAACACTGAAACGTTTGAAGCAATGTTTTCCGGAATTGTGTTGAGGCTTCAAAACACTCGTCTCCACGGTGACGCCTACTGGTCACTTTTGATATCGACACATCTTGGTAGGGGTTTCATTGAAACAATGAACTTATCAATAAATGACCAACAGGATTTTGGAGAAATCACTATACAACATACAAACAAATGCCTTCAGATTGTCAGAGACAGCAGATGGGGATTGCAATAAAAGTGTGTTTAAATAAAACACGTCTGTGTGTTGTTTAATAAATAATCACTCATTTAGCTGAAGCTTTTCTCAAAAGCAAATCACAATTGCTGTCAAAGGACGCACCTTGAGAGTAACTAGTGGTGTTTTGTTCAGGGACACGTATCACAGTGGGAATCGAACCCACATCTCTCCCACTATCCTATCCATTTTCACAATCGGAATACTTTATTGATCTACGAGGGTGAATTCTTTGTTGCAGATACTCGCAAGGCATAAAAGGAAAAGAAATAATAGTAGTTGAAGTTAGTGAGTAGAGAATATAATAAAGTAGGCCTATACGAACCATTGAATATAGTAATAAATGTGGATATCTACAGTAGCTTATTAAAAGAGGTGTAATGATAATTAGCAGGAAAGATAGATAGGCCCTAGTGTAATAATAATTAATGAGTGCTGGCAGTGATGAGGTGTAATGGATTAAAAATCTGTAACTTGAGTAAAGTTGAAGTTGTTTCAAGAATGATAAATGAAAAATGGAACAATGTCTCACATTTGTTATATGTCAAGAATTTTATTAAGAAATATTCAGCTGTTTTGAGACTGAGTCAGGTTTTTTTTTTCATAATTGACATCCCCAGCCTTGGAAAAATGTGGTCACATGGAACATTATGCCTGAACATGTGATCATTGAGTATTATGCAGCATGTGATGCTTAAATGTTACATGGTTGTTATGCTTTAGTATGATTGTTGTACAACAGATAGATATATAGAACATTGTTTTAAAGTCCTGTTTGCAAAAACAGGTCAGGTCTTATGAACAGAGCGAGAACTACTTGGAAGATCCCTTTCTATCGATGGCGAGCCTCCCAGTGTGATCTTGAAGAGACGCAGATCATCGAACAGGAAAGTATCGGTTGCCTGAGCTGGTACACACACTTCATCCAAAAGTGCCAACTTTCCTCTTAAACAAGGAAACTGTCACAGAACTATTGACTAATACTGGAAGTGATCACAAACAGACTTTAACAACTACAAAAGGAAAAAAAAACACACACTCATTTATTTTAAAGGCCCCCTTTTTTTTTTCATGTATGTTATGTAATTGTGTTTCAACTGTTACTTGAAAAGTAATGTGAGTAAAGGTTACTGGTTACAACTTACCTGGCCTGATACTTCCTTTTATGGGTACAGTTTGTATCACTTAGCTCCTTCCGAACCTAGCACAAGTAACCTGGTAATGAAGCTGTGCTTTTTATTTTTAATTGGTGACTTGTTAGATCGCTTGATGTGTGATATAACGTTACCATACGAGAGAGATTACCACAGCGGTAGACGGCATAGTGGATATGTTTTCAATCATTGTCATGAAGAAATCCTGTAAAAACTCGCCTCTTCTATTAGCGTCAGAGCCGTCGTCGACTACTGATGACGTATTCAGTTCTTGAAGGGTTGTTACATTTCGTAGGGGAATAATTCAACCCCTTGGCCCTTGTAACTCTGTTTTAAGGGCCAAGGGGTACATACGAAAAAACAAGGGGTGAAATGGGATTGGCCCAAAGTGGGGAAACTATTTATAAAAAACCAACATGGTAAAATGTCGGTTAGAGGCTCTGAATTTCAATTAATTGTCCAGCCCTAGTGCTCCTGAATAATTTTTTGGTCTTCAGGTATGCAATCTATTTTTAGGGACACATGCAGCTGAAATGGTCGAATTGTAGAGCCCTGATTTAAGTAAACTTAATGTAATGCAGCCAAGACGTCTTCGAAGTTGAAACGATGAGAAAAAGTTGAAAAATACCTTTATTTTCTTCTCAGATTATACCACATTGCTTCATTTACATGTTAAAATCACAAATATTTAACACTTGGGACTCCTTACAGGGGTTTGGTTTACTGTAATTATTTATTTATCGTAGAAAAAAAACAAATGTTCAGGGAGGAGACAGAGGTGACATCACTGTAGCTGGAATAAATCATCAAACTCTCTCATCTGGAGACAAAACAGTTTTCACTGACAAACCAAAGGAATTTTACTAAATATGACATCCCCTTCTCAGTTACAGGGAAAACAAAATCTAAGTAGTGGTACAATACAAATTACCAAATTTAGAGTAACAAGATGCTGTTTGGTTTTGTGATATATTCTGCACACATGTCTTTTATTGTTTGTTTGTCTCTTAGACCAAAGTAGGACAATTTGTAATTTAGACTATTTTAATATCCAATTACTCAATTAAAGACTTACCAATTTCTACAGAAATATATAAGTGAAATATCTGGAACACTTATAGCTGCTTCCCTGTTTAATATTCATATGGTGATATCAGTTCACAGAGTCATGATATTTATAATGATCAAAGTTTTTCTTTTTCTTTGTAGAATTAGAAATGTATTTATGGAGACATTTTCAAATATTCCTATAAATTAAGTCAGTACCTGTAGCACCAATGTTTTGACAGAAAAATAATGCTTTTTTGAGCAGAGTGGCCACAGTTTGTTTATAGAAGTGTTCCATCAACTTTTAGACATTGTTCCCAAGCAAAAATAACCAAAACACCTCGGCCAAGGCAGTTTTAAGTTTGCTGATATAAGCAATATATCTTGTTTTAATGTTTATTCCAATCTTCACTTAGTTTACTGCTTTACATTAGAAAAGGACGCTAGATGTTGCCCTGGGGCCTCAGTAAATAAAGGGCTCATGACAGAATCTTAAAATATGTTCACAAGAGATAAATAAAGGATAGATGGATTCTAGTCAGTTGGATATGTAATGGAAATAAACCGAGATGTAAATTAAAGTTGGCCCCGAACACAGAGTTGTCTTTGCCGTATTTATGAGGCCTCAGAGGTACAAGTCATACAGAGTACAGAGCAGTCTGCAGGAGAGTATAAAGGAAGGAGAAGAGTGCATGTGTTTTACGGAGCAGTGGAGTGTGGTTGTTTTTAGCATCTGTCGGACTACAGTTGAAAATTAGCCTGCTGGCTAACACTGGCACATTTACAGAAATGTTGATTAATGTGCACTGTCCTTAAATAAATAAATGAGAAATGAGAAATTTTGCTGTGAGGGGACAAAGCACTACGAGTGGCAATTACTAAAACAACGAGTTGCAAACAGGAACTTTGTCTGGTACCTGTCCGGCCGGATTGGGCCCAGGGTCATCAGTGTGAATGAGAATAGAGAAGTAGGAAAGTACCGAGGATGCCGTAGTGGAGAACACTGAACTGACGGTGACCTCGGTGAAGTACATTTTGATACATGAATGACATCAAACAGTATGAGAAACAAACAATAATGCTATGAGATACAAATTGCCATAACATATATTACATTGCACAGTTTGGCATTCTGTGTATGGTTCATCAATTATCTGAAGACCAACATGTTTAGAAGCATGAAGATTCAAACATTTGTGACACATTGCGAAACATTTTCAGGTTGTTAATTCTGCATTGAATCATTTTTGTAGTTAAGATGATGCAATATCTCGATTAATTATTTTTATATATGCGTTCATGTTAGCTGCTGATTATACATTTTCATTCAATTTTGAACATAGTTGAATAAACAAAGATTAAAGGTTTTGTTTGAATGTCCCTATTTTTCACCAGAGTTGAATATTTTTGTTGTACAGATTGAACCTCAAAGACACATCTGACTACAGATGTGGTAAAGGGAGAGGCAGCTGTAGACTAGGCAGGACTCGATATAGTTGACCAGATGTTGTGGTGAAAGGGGCAGATGTTACATGGGACAGGCAGAAGTGGTTTAAGTAGAGGGGGGGCATGAGCAGTTGTTAGATTTTGGGTAAAACTAATCTTTGTATGGCGAGGACACTCTTTTCCAGGAAACACATCTACCTTCAGTTTATTGAGGAGTTCTTCCAGAGTCTCAATCTTTACATATTTTTCATTTTTCTCTTCAGATTCATTTTCTGGAACATTCTCACCCCAGTGTGCGCTTGCTATCCATTTTTTCTCTTCGGGGCTGTAGCAGCAGAATGCTGACCAGAGCTTGTCAGGAATATTAATCTTTTTATTGAGTTGTTTGTTTCTGTCGTTGGGTATTGCTCCAGTAACCACATAGGCTTTAGTACCACCGTTGTTGATTTTGCAGTATTTGTCCATAACACATTTGACGCACATCTCCATTGTGCTCCAGCTTCCCCCGTTGAATGTAATTGCTTGTGGAACAATGTTGGTTAGCGTACAGGTGGATTTTTTGTCAGATGTGGTGGATCCATAAGAGTATGGAATTAAATGGCCCTTGTTAAACCCTTCTTTGGTTTTGTAATCTTTGATCCCAGCTTGCTTGACGTAAATTGTGTTGTCATCTGCATTACACATCATCTTCTCATTCGTTTTTCCCTCAAGCTGTAAGAGTTAAAGACCAAGTTACTGATGCAGGCAGAGTAACAATAAATTGAAATTCATGCACAGCAAAGATTTCCTTTAGTTAGTTAAAATTGTTAAAACACATCAGTGAACCTCATTGTTGCACAGCGCAACATGCTCCTTCCTCATCATGAACACGCACATTGTAGTTTATCCTGCTGCCATAAATACTAAAGTACCATTCCACTGCTGTAAATAGTCCCTAACAAATGCACAATTCCCTGCTGTTTAAGTAACGTTTGCTTATAAACAGCTGAGCATTTAAACAAAAATTCAAAATATATATGTGACCTGTTTCTAAAGGTTTAGGAACCACAGACAGAGTAGAGAATTCAGAAAATATTTTTAGTACTGTTGGTGTTTTTCTGACAATAACAAAAATATAGAAGATCAGCTGCCTTATCCATTAATTTCAGTTAATAATCATAGCAGTGAATTGAATGGAGCTTCACTGGGCTCAACCTGGATTGATAGATTAGCGTCCTACATGCATGTCTTATATAAAAAGGCAGTGAAATTAGTTGTGAAACTCCTCGCTAGTGCTATTACATTAACAAGGCTGTATCACTGATATGCAGTATGAAAATAAAAATTGCAAAGTTGTGCAAAGTTTTATTATTGTTTAGTAGGTAATAGTAGCATTTCTACTGTGGGTGTGGATGCACCAGCAGTACTTGCTTGTACCAAAAATATAATATTATTATTTATTGATTTAGTTTTTCATGAGTCAATAAGAAAAACACACCTGTGGCTCTATTTTCCATTTGGGTCTTTTGAATGGTCCCTTCTCTGTTCCCCCTGTGTACTTGTAGGCAGAATACACAGGAATCTTGTTCTTGGTGTCGTAGAGCGTCAGAAACCTTCTCTTATTGTCATAAGTCTGACATATGAATTTGTATCGGTTCTCGTCCATTTTCTTGCCCTCCAAGATGCTCGTGACATCTGGTGGAGTTTTGTTGAGGAGAAACTGGTCACAGTCGGACACCGACTTCACCACTTCAGCCACTGTGGGAACAATGGACAGGACGGCAGCGAGGAGCAAGAGATACCACATCTTCATGGACGTCATCGTCAAACTCTGTGTCTTTAGGTCAGAGGAGAGAAAAACAGCCGTCAAACATTACCGTTTGTTTTCTACAGTTTGAACCAGTAACAAAGTTACAATAAATTATCATGAACTTGGCAGTGTGAAAAGCCTTGTGTTTGGTTTGAACACAGTTCATCAGGGTCTTTCTCTACACTTCCTGGCTCACTAAAGCTGCATAAAATAAGAGATACAGAGACACAAGCTATGATCAGGTAGTGCAAACATCCGACCATGTAAAATACAGCAGGTCTGTGCTGAATGTAGTATAGTATAGTTGAGATTACAGGCTGATAATTTGACGTCAGCAGCATCGACATGATCTGAATCAGTATGCAGTCCACCAGCAGCTGCATGGACACTTTACCTCACCTCTAATGGTCCCGTGTAGCAGGTGATTGCTTTATTGTGCTGTGTTGATGTAAAACCGTTTTCTTTAACTATTAACTTTAATGAAAGAGGTTGCTGTCAGTAATTTAAACATTTCCGCACACAGTAATGTCGCTGAAATATCGTGGGACATTGAAGCAGCAAAACAAAAAACTGTATTTATAAAGTTGACAGTTTCACTGTATGAACCTGGACTGTGTGTGAGACCTTTTGGATGTTGAGACATACATACATTAATTAACTTTGAGCGATCAGGAGATTTAAATGATTTAAACCAAGCCCATAGTTGGTTATGGCCACGGTTTAACATTTTTACGGTCATGTCTAATTTTTTTCTGCATGGGGATGTAATTTTTTTTCATCTTTCCGCACCCAAAAATACTGTTTTGTTTTGCTTTTATCTGATTTTGAGGAAATTTGAAGCAACATCAGCCAATGTTACATTTGACAAACACATTGGCTAGTCCTCATCCAAAAAGTATTTTCTTTTGTAACATACCTTTAGATAAAATGCTGTGGCAGTCGCCGTTCAGAGAAGAGTCTTACAGGAACTATCTTTTGATTGTAGAATGAATTTACTTAAAGCTGAAAATATCTAGTATGAATTATTGAAATCCTCAGTGCACAAAGCCAATAGCTGCTAAGAATACTATGCTAACTGGTAACAAAAACTTCCCTCTCTGTTTGTCTTCAAAAAATGTCTATCAAGAAATAAAGAAAGATCAAAATTTAAGAGTCTAATCTATAGAGATCTTAAAAGCAAGAAAAGAGATCTCAGAGTGAAGACACTTGTTCATGTCCCTCTCTCTTATACAGGTGGAGATCAGGAAGAACTCAAGAGAGCTTCTAAATATGGTAAAATATGAAATACAGTTCAGACATTGGTCAAAGCTAAATTATTCTATGTTAAAACTTAAAACATGTGACAAAATAGCTGTTTTCCAGTAAGCCTGGTGCAAATGACTGGTACAAAAAAAAGGTGTTGATGTCGGATAATTCTGGTGACACTTTACTGTAAATACAGAAGCGTGAGGTCCAACAGGAAGCTCAGTCTCAGCTGAAGACGAGATCTTCATTAGTGTACGTCACAAGTATGGACACACCCATTTCAGCAGCATGTCTGTGGTTACAAGTGTTGTTTTTCACTGCAGCAGCACAGCTGTCAGAAACCAACATTCACAGTTCATTTTGGGCAGAGTCACAGCCAAAGTATATTTATAATTTTTTTTTTCTGATGTTGTCAATGTTTAAAATATTGTCTTTAATTTGGTATCAAAATTCCTTTGGGGTGGGTAAGGGAAGCCAAGAAGTGAGGCTCGGCCAAGTCCATACTAAATTTATGAAGTACCTGTTTTTTTAGGTACCAAAAGTACTGGGGATCCAACAGGTGAAAAAGGGCGACGAGTGCAGCTGCAGCAAACATCTCCACCTCAAGTCGTTGAAAAGAAAGGGAGTAGGCTAATTATAAATTTACAAAAACATCATGCAAACAGTGCCATCAAAATTTCAGACTAAAGGAGGAAACACTTTCAACTTAGCGAAGTGCCTCTGACATCCAGACTGAGTGAGTTTCAATTCACATGACATTAACAACGTATCCAAAGCATTAGGGCCGGTGTCCACCAAAGCGTTTTTTGCCAGCTGAAAACGGCAGCTGCTCTCCTGAAAACGTCCAGCAGGAAGTGCTAGCGGGCAGCTTTTTTTCGACTGCTTTAGTTGCTATGATACATAAAATCCGAGGAAGTGATTCTAACTAACTTTACTGGATATAAAAATGTCAACACAGAGTAGAGTACTTGCTCTGTATGAAGAGAAGGCTGAAGCAGGTAGAAACAAAGGACGGACTCGCAGTATGTGTGCAGCGTCTTCCAGAATACAATTCTGAACAGGCAGGCAGCGTTTTCAGCAGACTAGGACAAGGCACATACAAAAGGTCATTAATTCCCGGTTGAAAAACTACAAGACAAAAAAACTCTAATTTAAGTGCAAGACTTAGCCGTAGCATTGGTTACCACTGAAGGTGAACTGACTAACTGGCGAGGGGTGGATGATGAGCCGCCATATTTCACTGAGCGAGTGGATTGCTGGATAGGCCACAGGTGTGAGTAACGGTAATTAGCCAAAGCAACACGCTCAAAAGATTTTTCTCTCTTTTATTTCTCCCATCAAATTTTATTATGGAGACAGTTAAAGTCAGAGAGACTGTCAGCAAGAACTTTAGACATCATTTGTCATCATTTCTATTCCGTCACCAGAGGCTGATCGTTCCTGAGTGTTTAGTCCAAATAGACGTCAATAAAACTTGAACAAGTGAGGAGTCGGACAAGTCCCTAAACTGCACTTAAGACTCTAATGAAGCAAGCAAATTGAAAGAAAGCCTGCACATCCAGCTGATCTCACAGACTGCATCTGATGAAAGCAGCCGGCTTATTTGAGAGTAAAGCTGATAAAATGTATGAATGAAAGCGCTGATAAACAAAAAAGGGGTTGGTTTGAAATGAGTACAAATGATGTGACTTTCAAATAAAATGTATGCAGTGGTGTTATAATCAGCATAAAAAATAAAATAGATAAATAGAAAGTCTATAACTGAGTGTCGACTTTGAAATGAGTTAGCCTACATCATTTCATTTTCCCCGAAATATTCAGTCTAATGAATGAAAATACACCATGCTCATATTCTGGGCTACTCAATAATAATCAGAATCAATACATTTAAATGCAGAGTAGGCCTAATATAAGCACTGTGCCTATGAGCCTAATTATTCATGTGCAGGTGTTAAACAGGTTGGCTAGCAGCTACAGAGAGAAAACATGCTGCTCTGCTATGAGAACTTTGAGAGTCTTTTTAGTGTCAGCACAGTGTACATGTGTGCAAACCGGTGCAAACACACAAACTCAACCAAAAGTCTCTCCAGCTGTTAATCCGACTAACAGCTGATCCAGCTGTTCTGCTGCTGTCATCAAAATGGACGCCGCTTCAGGTCATGCTTCAGAAGTAAGAGCGTCTCATGTCTCTAAAAACACATTTCCTTGATTTTTCTCTACTTGCATGGTTTTAGTCCCGCCTGCTGGAGATGCATGGGGCCTTTCTCATTTTGTAAATGTGGGCATCCTCGCCTCCATGGAGATGGTTGTAGACGTTACTCGCACAAGTCTGTCATCTTTCTAGTTCTCATGTATTTATTTTTAGGGGCATAAGCAACTGAATGAGAGTCTGGTCTAGACCTACCCTAAAAGCACAATGAGATAACTGTTGTTGTGAATTGGCGCTATATAAATAAAATTGTAACTGAAATGGTTGCACTGTAGAGCCCTGATCCTAAACCTAATGTTGCAGCCGATACGTCGTCGAAGCTGAAACCAGTCATGAGAACAATGAGAAACAGTTCCAAAAATACCTTTATTTTCTTCTCAGATTACACCAGAAAGCTTCATTTACATGTTAAAATCACAAATATTTTATTCTGGGGACCCCCTACAGGGGTTTGCTTGTTCAAACACATCTACCTTATGAGTTTACGAGGCTATACGACAATGTGGTTTCAACACGTTACATTGACTAACAGACCACTTATCCTGCGTACAGGGTCGCGGGGGGCTGGAGCCAATCCCAGCTGACATTGGGCGAAAGGCGGGGTACACCCTGGACAGGTTGTTTGTCCATTGCAGGGCCACACATAGACAAACAACCAGTCATACTCACACCTAAGGGCAGTTTAGAGTCACCAATCAGCATAGGCCGCATGTCTTTGGACGGTGGGAGGAAGCCGGAGCACCTGGAGAGAACCCACAGACATGGGGAGAACATGCAAACTCCACACAGAGAGGCCGGGGCAACCGGGGTTTGCTGTGAGGCGACAGTGCTACCCACCGCACCACCGTGCTGTCCATAATCAAAAATAAACACATTAAATCAAACTGTTAAACATTTATTTCATGTAAAAATTTAAAGACCAGGAGTGCTTCTGCAAATACTTGCTGAAGTTTTAACATCAAATGTGCGGGGGAAAGTTCACATAAAATTCATATAAAATACGTACATGTCAAATAAGACTATACTATAAGAGATTTCCAACTTTTTCTATTTTTGCAACGAGCTGACGGCAGCATGCTTAAGACTTCTTTATATGGTCATATGCTCAGCTCGCCCACGAAGTACCCATCCTCCTGCTCAGTCTATAAAGTTTTAATTCGACCGCTCCTCTCAGGACTGCTCTTCAAGTTGTTCAATATGTCTCACAGAAAGTACTTTGTCAGTTGTGAAACAGAGTTAGTTAATTTCTTCTAACTACTGCCCAGAAACATTGTTTGCACCAGGTGCACTGATCTACAAATGTTGCATGTGTGCATTGTTTAAGAACTTATTTCCTGAACTCGACTCTCAATTCCTTCACTTTTGGACTTTCTTTAGTGGTGTCAACATCAATACCATAGACTATAGACATGACTGTGGGAAAAATTACATATCAAGTTACATCATGTTTTCGTAAGGTTTTGCTGTGTTTCCCACTTTCCTCATATTCTGTGACCCGGTGCATACCTTGTGAAACACAACTAGATGATCCGTGGCCTGAGCTGCGCTGACCTGCATTCTCTTTTTTGTAGGCTGAGGCTGATCATGTGC